TTAATAAATATTCCATGTTTGGGAATCAGCATGCTTTTACGGTAAATTCCACTTGTTCAGGAACAAAAATGACACGGATCTTCATGCTGTGTTTGTGACCTCTAGTGCATCTGTCTCACTTCTCTGGAAATAGAGTTGATGCGTCAATGAGATGTAATGGCCGAAGCCTAAGGGTCCGTAAATCTCCATGCAGCCATGAGATTAATTGAATGACTCTGGGGCTGTTGCCTCATCTTAACCTACATCTCAGTCAGTTCTTGAGAATAAAACCTAGAGGAGAACTACATAAAATGCCTTGGAGAGGAAAACCGGCCGAGGTGGACGGCTGGATGGAAAGCTTGACCTGTAGACTTTGATATGATACACATTCTCACCAAGCCATGCTTTTGATCTGTTTGCAGTGTTTATCTTCAGATTAGCATTACACATATCAAAACGATTAAGATAAGAATGCTATGGTTAATGTAGATAAAGTAGAAAATAACCAAATTATGCAAAACACTAAAATGATAAAACTACATCCCTAAATAATAGTAGGGTAGTTAGAATAGAGTGGAGTGGAGTGGAGTGGAGTGGAATGGAATGGAATGGAATGGAATGGAATGGAATGGAATAGAATAGAATAGAATAGAATAGAATAGAATAGAATAGAATAGAATAGAATAGAATAACAGGGTTGGAAGGGACCTTGGAGGTCTTCTAGTCCAACCCCCTGTTTAGGCGGGGGTTGGACATGGTGTCCATGTCCTTTGGTAAATCATAAATTGCTTTACCCAGTGAGGAAGTAAGAAAACATTTTGAACCTTGCTTAATACTCTTTATACAGATACAGATTAACAGAGTTGGGTGGGATCTTGTAGGTCAACTAGTCCACCACCACCTCCAAGCAGGAGACCCTACACCATTTCTGACAGAAGGAAGCCCAGTCTGTTCTTGAAAGCTTCCAGTGATGAAGCTTCCACAACTTCTGAAGGCAACTTCTGTTCCATTGGTTGATTGCTCTCACTGTCAGAAAATTTCTCCTTGTTTCCAGGTTGAATCTCTCCCTGTTCAGTTTCCATCCATTATTCCTTGTCTGGCCTTCAGGTGCTTTGGAAAATAGCTTGATCCCCTCCTCTCTGTTGCACCCCCTCAAATATTGGAAGACTGCTATCATGTCTCCCCTGGTCCTTCTCTTCTCTTCACTAGACTAGCCATGCCCAGTTCCTGCAACCGTTCATCGTATGTTTTATCCTCCAATCCCCTAATCATCTTGGTTGCTCTTCTCGGCACACTTTCTAGAGTCTCAACATCTTTTTTTATAGTGTGGTGACCAAAACTGGATGCAGTATTCCAGGTGAGGTTTTACTAAGGTTATAGAGGGGTATTAGTACCTCCCCTGATCTTGATTGTATTTGTCCGATATGGTGGGGTATTAGCAAGCAAAGGTTTAGGTGAAATATTTTGGAATTGGTTTATATACTGCCTTCCATCTTTCCTATCTGATCAGATTTTCTAGCTATACGGGGGTACAACACATTGCTAATTTTCCAAAGCAGCAATCATCCTAATTACACTTCACCACTTAAAATCATTTTTTTTTCTGAAGATAATTCGCAAGCAAAACGACACATGATAATACATTTTGCTTGTTTGGCCTGAAGCAGTTTGTGTAGATTATTTTTCCTCAGCTTAATTGGAACTCTTATGATTGAAGAGATGTTCGGATGTGTTGCTGTATAACTTCATCTCCTTCATTTTCTTCTGGCTGTAATACATTATAGATCACACTGGTCTCTCTATCTTCTTTCTCATCCAGGGTCCTCTGGTTTTTTTGCCCTCCCCAGGCTCCAGAGCCTTTCTTCGAGCCTCTGGGAGGGCGAAAATGGCCTCCCCTGGGCTCTATAGGCCCTCCAGAGGCTGGAAACAGGCCTGTTTCTGGACTTCCGGTAGGCTCATTTTTCACCCTCCCAGAGCCTCTGCGCACGGTCTGCACTTACCTGGCATCCAAAACGGGCCGTGTGGTGACTCCTGGGAGGGGCAGGGCGGGTGGGTGGGGTCAGCCAGTCCTTGGAACAATCGGTTTGGCAAACCAGATTAAAATTAACATCCGGTTTGCCCGAACGGTGCTGAATACCACCCCTGGATACCATTGTCAGCGTTTCGCTGGCATAGAGAGAGAGAGGAAGAGAGAGAGAGAGATAAACTCTGAACTTCTGCCTGCTAAATCCCTTTGATGTCTGGTTGTCGTGGAAATGAAGGGGGGAGACATTCCTGGAAAATGACGTGACAAGAAGTCTGAAGAATGACTTGGAAGATAGCCAATGAGAAGCAGAGATTTGGGGATCGGAAAGGGAGGGATTGGGGGGCAAAAGGTCAGTCTTGTCCGCATCGAGTCATGATGCGGTGGCTGTGCTCAATTAAAGAAAAGATTTCCTTAAAGATTGGCAGTTTGGAAATTCATTTATTTTGAGATAGCATCGAAGTCTGACAACCATATTAGAAGGAATCGCAGTAACTTTTCAAGTACACAATGCAAACTGCTTAAATTAGTGGCGGTGGGGGGTGGGGGGAGAAATTCCCATCAGCTCAGGAATTGTGAACTTGTTTATCTGAATTGGTGGACTTATTCCATGAGAATTATGCGATGATAAAACTATCTTTAATGTTTAAATTTAAAAGAGTTAGTCCCTTTTAATAATTTAAACAATACAGTCCAAAGACGAACAGAGGTAGATGCAAACATTTCGTTTTGACTCATGTCTCGTATCTTTCATGCGCTGTAAAACGTCTCTGGTGAATGTTTGGTTTATTAGGAGAAAAAATGGCTTTCTTTCCCAGTTTGTACCAAGGATCAGGACCACGTGTTAAGCTCCAGATACGCTGATCTATTGCGCTTTCTTTCTTCCTCCCTGTCTCTTTCTCCCTCCCTCCCTCTCTCTCTTCCTTCCTCTCTCTCTCCCTCCCTCTGTCTCTTTCTCCCTCTCTGCTTTTCCCTCCCTCCCTCCCTCCCTTCCTTCCTTTCTTTCTTTCTTTCTTTCTTTCTTTCTTTCTTTCTTTCTTCCTTCCTTCCTTCCTTCCTTCCTTCCTTCCTTCCTTCCTTCCTTCCTTCTTTTTTCTTTTCTTTCTTTCGCTCTTTCTCCCTCTTTCTTTCTCCCTCTTTTTTCTCTTTCCCTGTCTCTTTCTCCCTCCCTCCCTCTCTCCCCTGTCTCTTTCTCCCTCTCTGCTTTTCTTTCTTTCTTTCTTTCTTTCTTTCTTTCTTTCTTTCTTTCTTTCTTTCTTTCTCCCTCTTTCTTTCTCCCTCTTTTTTCTCTGTCCCTGTCTCTCCCTTCCTGTCTCTGTCTTTCTCCCTCCCACTCTCCCTTCCTCTCTTGCTCTCGCTCTGTCTCTCTCTCTCTCTCCCTCTGTCTCTTTCTCCCTCTCTGCCCTTCTTTCTTTCTTTCTTTTCTCTCTCTCTCTCTTTCTTTCTTTCTTTCTTTCTTTCTTTCTTTCTTTCTCTCTCTCTCTCTCTCTCTCTTTCCCTCTCTTTCTGTCTGTCTTTCTCTCTCTCTCTTTCTGTTTCTTTCCCTCACTTGCCCACCTCTTTCTCTCTGTCTCTGTCTCTGTCTCTGTCTCTGTCTCTGTCTCTGTCTCTGTCTCTCTCTCTCTCTCTCTCTCTCTCTCTCTTTTAAAGCAACCTGAGATGCATTCTAGAGCTGTGGTCAGGACTAAATGGGTGCTAGATAAAAGTTAATGGAATTCAAAAGGGGTTGGATTTTAGACCATTTGCGGGAATGTAAGGACTCAAGGCTGATTCCTCTCTTGACTTCTCCCCCTGTCTCTGCCTATCCTTCTCCTACAATACATCTTGTTCCTTTTGACTACTGTAATTTTTATTAAACAATTTGTCTTTAAAAACAACACAAAAAACAATCACACATGTATAAAAACAAGACACGTCAAGACATAATGTATTAAACATTACATAACAATGGTAATTTTACAGCATTTCATATCGATTTACGTATTTTGCTTTTGTAGTTCTTTATTCTATCATTTCTATTTACTACTCAATAGTAGGATAATCGGTTACTCCAACTTATATATATAAACACATTATAATATTCATTGTTCTTATCTACACATTTATATTCGTTTATATTCAATTTCTTTTCTATTTACTAATTACACCTATATCATCATTCATGTACATTTATATAATAACATGTTTTCCTTTCCCCCCCTCCTTCCCCCTTTTCCATTTACCCAGGTGTCATCTGGGTTTCTATTCCTTTTTTTTGTCTTTTCTCTCATTTGTCTTTGGATAAGAGACTGTACATTTAAGTATGCTTATGAGAAATAAAAATAAAAAACTTTTTTTTTAAAAAAAGGGGGGAAAAGATGCGGCACCAGCAGCAATGTGCTTTGTTGTTCCCTTGTGTCTTTTTTTTTTTTTAATCACCCACTAGTGAATTCCTAGAGTGGAGGAGCTCTTGCCTCATGATCAGGAGGCTGTGAGTTCGATCCTAGGTAGCAGCAGATATTTCTCTCTCTGGGCACAATCTGCTGTGAACTCTGCATTGGCAACAGGAAGGGCATCCGGCCAGTAAATACTCTGCTCCATTCAGTTGCCCCGACTCCACCCCAGTGAGGGATTACGGGGTCATTCAGAGACAAAACAAGATAAACAACATCCCACTAGTGCATTCCTCTTTGAGTTCCATCTGAGCATTAAGAGAATCTGGAGTGAACTGATAGTAAAAAAACAGCCACATAGTCCTCATTTGACATGAGACTGTGTACTGGAGGTGACATCCAACACATCCGGAAGGTGCCAGACAGAGGGAAACTGCATTCTTGCAACTCAGTGATGCAAGATTGCTGTTTGGCTTGTGTCTGTGTGTGCTTCCAAGCTCATGTAGCCACAGGACAGTGTTGAACTGAGTCAAAGAATGGGATTTGTGTTGAAAATAAAAGAAGTTCTGTATATTAAATCCAACGTTGCGTAACCCTCTCCATTTTTTTTTTTAATACTGTCCCAGTAGTTCTTCATTGTCGGTCATCATTGTCGCTGAGCATTGCACAATGTTTTTGGTGTTCAGAAGAGCATTTCGGAGAACAAGGCGCTAGTGAAAAGTTCGCAGATGACACGAAATTTAGGAATGTCCTGTGAAAGGCAGCAAAAGAACTTCAAAGGGCGATCCACCAAGTGACGGACGAGATTCAGCATTAGCTAATGCCGTTTGGATGGGAAAGAATGTTTTTCGGCTCATGTTGGTGCTGGTGTCTCAATTAGCTGTACTCGACGCAGTTCAAAAATGTCTGATTATATTTTTAGGCAACTCATCCTAACTGCCTGTAACATGTAGTCATTGTCAGAGCAGTGAAATGTAATGATGGATGAAAGTTGAAGTCTCTAAAGAGGTGAGAAACAGAGTGAAGCTTAACAAATAAAACTCTAGACCATATGCTCAAGAAAGCAAGCAAGGAACAACAGCTCTAAGTTGAAAAAGGGGCTGGGAGAATTCTAGATGCTCAACCTTAGCCTATGATGATGATGTTCTCCTCCTCGTTCTATGTGTCTTTACATCAGATGAAGTCCCGAGTCGTTCAACTAGGATTTATTAAATAAATCATGATGTGTTGAATTAGCCAAGTAGACCAATTGATGGGTGCGTAATATTGGATCCCAGGGTTTACTTCCATCACCTAAAAGGGCAGCTATGGCTCAGAGCTTTAAGCCAGCAGTTCTCTCCTATGCTAAGGAGCGTATACACACAATACGCTAAAACAAATCCAGAAAAAATACCGTATTTTTCGGAGTATAGGATGCTCCAGACTATAAGACGCACCTATCTTTTTTGGTGAGGAGAACAAGAAAAAGAAATCCGCCTCTGCCTCCCAACAATTTTGCCTTGTTGCAGCAAATAGCCTGCCTTACTTTCGTTTTTGTTTTCAGCATAGCTTGATTAGCACAAGAAAAAAATATATGCTCCCAGCAATTTACCTCCTTGCAGCAAGCAGCAGAGACTCACGCAAAACAGCTGAGAGCAAAACAGCTGAGAGTCGGGAGGCCGATCCAATCAACTTGTGCTAATTAGGCTGTGCTGAAGCTGAAACGGGCTGTTTCTTCTTGCTGCTTGCTGCAAGGAGGTAAATTGCTGGGAGGCAGAGGCCAAAGGGTGGGGGCCAGTGGGTGGACAGGGCTACATTCGGTGTATAAGAGGCACCTAAATTTTCACCCCCTTTTAGGGGGGGAAATAGGTGTGTCTTATACTCCAAAAAATACGGTATGTTGTGGGGGATTGTTAAATGTTGCATCTATTACAAGGAATGGAAATCATATGTTTGGGGGTACGGAACCTATCTCTAAACCAGAGAATCCATGATTTCAAGATTTTGCTAAACAGGCTCGATTAGCAAGTCCGACGACCATAATTGATCAAAATTGTACATCTTCTGGAATGCCATCATTTCCTCACTGCAACCTTACATATATGAAAACGGATTGCATTTAATGGATTTCCAACCATTGGAAAAGACTTAATGTCTTTTAATTTGTTTTGTTGTAAGATTCCTAGAGTCACATAAACCTGTGACGGGCAGCTATCTAAATTGTGCAAATAAGTAAATAAACCCAGGATTGTGGTCTTGAGTAGACTGATAGCAAGTGCACTTATACTATCTGCCCAGGATAAGGAAGTGTCAAAAGAAACTAGGATCCCTTTAAAGGAGATGAAATATTTATCTGTGTCATGACAACATTCACCAATACAGCGAAGAGAGTTTTTCCCCTTTGTTTAAGAAATCATGTTGGCTACAGAGCTGTGGCTACAGGGAATTAGGCAGCTACTCCTCACACACCGGGTATACAGACTAAAATTTCCTCAGGCTTCGACTGGGTATTTCTGTCTCATTCCTCGTTCCTCCGAGAAAGCTAGTCCTGGTTGAGATGAACAGTGGGCTGACAGATGGACTATCTTTTACAACGCCGAGGTTCTTCTCTCCACCTGTTTCATTTAGGGGGTGCGGATTGCATACTGATGACCCTTAAAATTCATGGTGGCGCCATAGGAATATATATTACTCTATAGCTTAATGGAAATCTCCATATTCCCTGATTGTTTACCCTGCAGAAAATCCTGCTGCAGTGAGGCACCATGGTTCCTCTGGGTTTTGAGGAAATGCTTACATTTGAGTTAGTGCACTCAAACGTAAAGGAAAAAAAAACCAATTGGAAATGATGGTCTGTAGCATACAAATTAATCATTCTGAAATGGCCCCCATGAGAAGAAAATAATCAGGGTGAGGGTTCTGTATTTTCATTTCTTTCTGATTTCATCAAAATTGTTGAGTGCAGCGCCTTTTATTTTCGTGCCTTTGACAAAGTTGATTCTTCTTCTCTGTGACTATGAAGGAGGGATGGTCATAGGTGATTTTCCAGATGTTCTACCTAGAATGGACTGGACTGGACTGGACTGGACTGGACTGGACTGGACTGGACTGGACTAGACTAGACTAGACTAGACTAGACTAGACTAGACTAGACTAGAATTCTTTATTGGCCAAGTGTGATTGGACACACAAGGAATTTGTCTTTGGTGGATATGCTCTCAGTGTACATAAGGAGAATAAAATACATTCATCGAGAATAAAAAGATACAACACTTAGTGATAGTCAAGATTACTAATAAGATATCAAATCCTACTAGGAAACAAATATAAAGAATATAAATTGAAAGATACAAGCAATATGGTTATAGTAATAAGTGGGAAGAGATACAGTAGATACTAGTAAGGAAGAGAATAATAGTAATGCAGACTTAGTAAATAGTTTGACAGTGTTGAGGGAATTATTTGTTTAGTAGAGTGATGGCGTTTGGAGAAAAAACTTCCTTGTGTCTAGTTATTTTGGTGTGCAGTGCCCGATAGCGTCTTTTTGAGGGTAGAAGTTGAAACAATTTATGTCCAGGATGCGAGGGGACTGTAGATATTTTCACAGGTCTGTTTTTGACTTGTGCAGTATATAGGTCCTCAATGGAAGGCAGGTTGGTAGCAATTGTTTTTTTCTGCAGTTCTATCAATCCTATCCTTCATAGCACTGGTGAAATCCCGGTTCTGTGGGCATGGCTTGGTGGGTGTGGTGTGGCTTGGTGGGCATGGCAGGGGAAAGATTTTGCAAAATCTCCATTCCCTCCCCACTCCATTCCCACCCCACTCTGGGGCCAGCCAAAGGTGGTATTTGCCGGTTCTCCATACTAATCAAGATTTCCTCTACCGGTTCTCCGAACTGCTCAAAATTTCCACTACCGGTTCTTCAGAACCTGTCAGAACCTGCTGGATTTCACCCCTGCTTCACAGCTGACTTTTAGGGAAGGGAAAATGGATCAGCTGGTGGGCAATCCTTGATTTATATTATGCAAGGTTACCATCTCTGGAAATATACATCTTGGAAGGGTAGAGACATAAAGAATGAAATAATTTGGGAGACTTGTTGTATTTCCTGCAGGCTCATTTAAGGCCGATCATTTGTATAAGCGGGGGAAAGACAGTCGCTGGTGACATATTTATGCCTTTTTACACTTACATTTGGAACACTATGTTCCTGTTGGGCGAAAACAGGAAAGCCTAGAAAATGTCAGCCAAAATAATTGGGATGAAACCATTTTCCTAAGAAGAAAGCTTTACAACTTTGGAGCTTTATGAATGAATAGACAAAAAGGCAATCCCGTCCCTCCCCCCCACCCCCACCCTAAAATATCTTACTAGAGAGTCCTGAGTCATCTAGAGGAAGATATAGGACAAACAAAATAAAACATTTCTTCACGCCAAGTCTGTTGAATTCAGTCCCAGGAGGTATCGTGATGACCAACTGCTTGGATAAATTAAAAATAGAATTAAACAGATTCATGGCCGGGAAGACAATCGGTGTTTGCTTCTCATGATGGCTTGTTGCTACATCTAAGATTAGACCAGTTTAGCCCTTAATATCCATTGTTTTGGAACAACGGTGGAAGAAAACATCATTTTTGACCATTGTGGACAGCAGAATGCTACGTTAGATAGACCTCTGATAAGATCCATCCTCAAGGCTTTGTTGTTGTTAGTTGTGAAGTCGTGTCCGACCCATCATGACCCCATGGACAATGTTCCTCCAGGCCTTCCTGTCCTCTACCATCTTCTGGAGTCCATTTAAGCTCATGCCTACTGCTTCAGTGACTCCATCCAGCCACCTCGTTCTCTTCTTCTCGTCCCTTTCTTCTTTTGCCCTTAATCTTTCCCAGCATTAGGCTCTTCTCCAGGGAGTCCTTCCTTCTCATTAGGTGGCCAAAGTATTTGAGTTTCATCTTCAGGATCTGGCCTTCTAAAGAGCAGTCAGGGTTGATCTCCTCTAGGACTGACCGGTTGGATCGCCTTGCAGTCCAAGGGGCTTGCAGGAGTCTTCTCCAGCACCAGAGTTCAAAGGCTTCAATTCTTTGGCACTCACCCTTCCTTATGGTCCAACTTTCACAGCCAGACATTGCAACTGGGAAAACCATCGCCTTGACTATACGCACTTTTGTTGGCAGGGTGATGTCTCTGCTTTTTAGTATGCTGTCTAGGTTTGCCATAGCTTTCCTCCCCAGGAGCAAGCGTCTTTTAATTTCTTGGCTGCAGTCCCCATCTGCGGTGATCTTGGAGCCCAGGAAAATAAAATCTGTCCCTACCTCCATTTCTTCCTCATCTTCCTTCTCTTCAAGGTTTACATCATCTTATGATATGATCACGTAATGCTTTATCAGAGAACGGAGTGCAGTCAGTCTGGGCCAGTAAGAAATTACCCAAAGGGAAACAAATAATTTGCCCATAAATAAAAACAACTACAGCCTTGTCAATAAAACAGGGAAGCAGAGCAATAAATAACCCAACCCTCGATAACACATTGCTAGCCTAATGAAAATAGCATATACGATAAATTTCACATATTGGAGCTGAGTTCTCCATGAGCCGAAAGAAGAGAGTGTTACAAAAACTTCAGACCCTGATGTAGATTCCAAATTATATCAGCCCGACATCTGTATTTTATTACTTTAAATAGAGAGGCTCTCTTACCTTGCTGTGCTATTAGCACTTGCTGTGATCAACCAATTAATTGTGTATGGAAGAGAAGATTTGTCTTCTTCTAACCTTTGAGTCAGTTTGGGATTTCTGACACGCTTCCTTTTGATGTACAGGACCTTCGTTGTTATCAGTTAATTGAAACTGTTCGGCTATCCTAAGCAGCATCTCATCAGTTTTAGCAATTAATTGCACCTCCTGGTACAAAAATGGTCCCAGATCCTAGAAAATGTGGTTTGCTAGTGGAAAATGACTCTGTTTACAAAACTGAAATGCAGATTATCTTACTCACTCTGGCCAACAACGCATAAAAGTGACTTCCACAGATGCAAGCTGAATAACTTCAGAGAAAATGGACTTTAACTAAATTCTAAATCACTTTTTCATATGTATATGTATATGTATATGTATATGTATATGTATATGTATATGTATATGTATATGTATATGTATATGTATATGTATATATACCAAATTTATATTTCACTGATAAAGAAATAAAGGGAGACTAGTATAGATCTATTTCAAGCTATTTAGCTCTCATCAGCTAGCCA